GTCCTTTATGATTGGATTACCACATTCTACTGATTCTTATTTTGTAGTTGGCTTTATTCCTTTGATAACTGTGTAAGTTTAAAAAGCTAAAAATCTAATTTGTTCTTAGAAAAAATAATTAGTACATATATGTAAACTAAAAAAGGTTCAGTATACTGTACATATGTATTTACACGCAATATAATGTGTATGTAGAGTTGAACTGTAATGATTCTACCTAATAAAACTGAAAAAGGAGAAAAAAATAAAATAAAATAAACAAGAGGGCAGAGCAGGGAGCAAAAAAAAAGACAGGGGGTGGCAGTTACCTCAGTTGAGACCAGAGTTAGAACCCAAGAGAGATATGGCCAGCATCAGATGAAAGACACAGACAGGGACACAGTTTACTAGTTTATTCTCAGACTTGAGATGCCAATTATGCCCTATGGCCCGGGGGGCAGGGATGGGGTCCTGCTAGAATCTCTCTCATCATATCCCAGCCTTTCTAAGGAGGAAGCAGATTAAATATATAACAGAGGGGATTTTCCCTTTTAATACAGACCCAGGTATAAATAGGGCAGCACCATTAGGATCCTGACTTACGCCCACCATCTTGGTCCCCCAAACCATCTGGCATGGCAAGGTGCGCTGGGGGGAGATACGGAGGGAGGCAGTATTTAGAGCTGGGCTGAGGCAGCAGCAGGAGCACACAGCTCAGTCCAGGGAAGTCCCACTTCCCTCTGTGGTCTGACTTCAGTCCCTTCACTGTGAACCCACCTGAAAATAGAAATGAGTGAAGGAGTCCCAGCCTGGGATCAGGAGACATCCAGTGCTTAACTATGGGGAAGGTAGCACCAAAGGGTGTTGAGAGCACTGACTGAGGGGTGGGAGGCAGGCATGGGGGGCATTCATCAGCTCTGAGTTAGAAGTTCATTGCATGGAGGTTCAAGGGGAGGGAGTTGATTGTTCAGTGAGCATGGAGGGGAGAAAGAGCCAGTCTACCATTATGCCAGCTGGGGTGCAGTGCAGGGAAACTGGACTCATGGGCCAGGGGAGTCCAGCACCCAGACTCCTGGAATGGAGAAGGAATACTGCTTGACCGTGATGAGCAGACTCTCCCCTGGCTCCACAGTCATTGGAGACGATAAATATGGTGGCTTCAAAGCCTCAGCACCAAACGTGCCCTGTCTGGGGCTCCCTCACTTGTCCCTCCCACCCCCCGAAGCTCTCAGCTGCTGAAGCAGACAGGTCCCAGTTCAAACCCAAACTTCTGGTTCGTCTGGCCAAAATCAGAGGCTGCCACGTCCCACAGGGGCAGAAACCCCACTCGGGAAGAGCTGAACTCCAAGAGGGTCTTCGTCTGTCCCTTCCGGAGCTGATCACGGGAAGATATGGATGGTGAATCAGGGGAAGGGCAGCCGTGGCTTCCCCTCCCCACTCTGGCCAGCCCCTGCCCCTCTCCCTTACCCGGCAGCCATCATAGGGGACAGTGATGGTGGCTGCTACTGTCTGGTTGAAGGATAGCTCCTCCCCGTTGGTCCCGAGGAAACGGAGGGAGCGACCATAGTCGCCTGCAGCTTCGTCCAGCCAGGCAGCTGAGTTTTGGCAGGAGTATGTGAAGCTCTGATGGGCCGTGGCACTCAGCAACTTCAGGAAGTTCAGCTGTACCACGTTCACTGGGGACCCATCAGCATCCACGTAGGAGAACTGGGGGTGGGACAAAGAGGAGGTGAGGATACTCCACTCGCCTCTACTCTTTCTGGGGAACCCACCTCCCAGGCTCTCCATCCACTGCAGACCTGCTCCCTCTGCTCCATCCTCATCTTTAGCAGCCCCACCAGCCATCCAGCCATCAGTGGTTCCCTAGCAAGCCTCTGTGCACGTGTGGCTATTGAGCACCTGAAATGTGGCCAATGAGACTGAGAAATTTTGTTTTTATTTACATAAATTTTAATTTTTTATTGAATTATTTAATTTAATTTTTGAACTTAACATTCACAACCAATAACTAAGCCTCAATCTAGTTATCAGAAAACTTAGGTTTGGAACAACTGGAGTGTGTGAATCTACTTTTTCTTTTATTTACTTATTTACTTATTTTTGTTTTGGGGGGCAGGGGAGGTAACTAGGTTTATTTATTTATTTGTTTTGTTTATTTATTTATTTGTTTTTTAATGGAGGTACTGGGGATTAAACGCAGGAACTTATGCATGCTAAGCATGTGCTCTACCACTGAGCTATACCCTCCCCTCTCTGAATCTGCTTTTTCAACTGCAGGTTTTATGCAATCTAAGTATTTTGAAGGAAATTTAGTATCCAAATTATGATGTGCTATAAATATAAAATATGCACCAGACTCTGAAGAACTCATAAGGAAAAATGCCTCAATAATCTTTATATCAACATGACAATATTTTGGATATATTGGGTTAAATAAAATATATGATTAACTTATTGCTGGCTTGAGATAACCAGCTTGGGGATGTCTCCTTTTCAGCTTCCTTCTCTTCCTTGTATCACTTCATGTCTCCCACTGATGTTTTCTGGAATCATCTCCCAGACAAACTACTTACAATTGAGTTTTTGTCTCAGGGTCTGCTTGAGGGGAACCCAAACCAAGATACTCCCTCACATTATACCATAGCTTTGTTTCCTTAGTTTTTGTCTGTCTGCTTACTTAGTTATATTCCCAGTAAAATATCAACTTCATGAAGTCAGGAACTGTGTTTTATTTGCTGCTGTTCCCAGTGCTTAGCATATGCATATATGTTACAGAAACAAGTCCCAAATGAAACGAAGGTTCCATGCCACCCCTTAAACCTGCTCTTCTTCCCATTTACACATCTCAGAATCTCACCAGACATCAGTCCTTCAGACCAGGAACCTCAGCATCATTCCCAAATCCTGCCTCCCCACCCACCCTCTGCTCAGTCTCATTAATTACTAGGTCCTATTGACTTGCCCTCTTAGATGTCATTCTAAGCCATGCCCTCCTCCCCATCCCTATTGCATCAGCTCCATCTTGGACCCTTCTTTTCTCTCCTGGACCAACACATCAGTCTCCTCCTGGGTCTCCCAGCCTCCAGTTTCCACACCACCACCACCAGCCCAGAGGCATTTTTCTATCACAGAAATTTAATCTGGGTCCTTCTCTCACTTAAAAACATTCCATGGCTCCCTATTGCCCATCAGTCTTTCTGGGGAGGTGGGCCTAACTCTCACCCACCTCCCTAAATTCTTCTCCTATCACATTCCCTCTCACACTTTCTAGAGCAGAACAAATCACTTTTTCTTCTTTAAATTTACCAGACTCTCTCTTGACTCTAGGCCTTTGTATATGCTGTTCCATCTGCCTGGAACA